AATGTTCTTTTTAGCAACGTCATATGACCCCTTTAAGTAAATAATCATGCCTTTCTTTTTCTGTCTTTATCTTTCCTTCTCATTTTTAACTTGTAAACTTTACATCCTTCCTTGTCATTTTATTATTTTCAAAGTCACTCTCTCACTCTCTCTTGCTGTGTTTGATTGTATATGTGTTACGATAGTGACAGATCAGGGCTGTGAGGCTGACAGTGCCGAGTCATGCCAGAGAATTTCAAAGAAGTCTGCATTGTAGTCACGTGTCTGTGTGTAAAATCACATTCATTAGCACCCAGTGAGTCCACTGAAGTGAACTGATGGCAGTGCATGTCTGTCTTCTCCAAGTTATTACTGTCTGTTTACATTCCCTTACACACTACGCTCTACACACACATCATAAATATAACCACTGGCTTGCTTAAAGGATGCAGTGTATGCTCAGTGATGCTGACAGTTGAAGATTAATAAAACACACACAAACACGCTTTTATGTTCTAGACACAATGTTCAAAAGCTCAGCAATTAACATTAGCCTTGTTCAACATAATGACAATACAGACAATTAATAGACTGCAAAAGTAAAAGATAATCATGTCATTTGCCATTGCAAATATACGCTTCACTGCTCTCTGACATTTAAATGTCCCAACAAATGTATGTGGGTCGCTCACATCACCACATGTGTTATACTATCCAGGCCACATCTCCAACAAAAACTATTCTATGTTTATTTAAGTTTAGCAATGTCGTTTTGTCAGTTGCTTGGTTTATAGCATATAGCTGCATGTTAAACATCAAATATGTTCTTGTTGTGTTATGTCTTTCACTTTTATTGTACATAATATTCTTGCTAGTATGCTTTTATGTCAGGGGTGTCAAATTAGTCCTAGTTTTCCCTAATCTAAAGTGTTACCAAAACCTAATTTCCGTTCGCTTCACATTGCATTGTTTTCATTGTTTTATGTAAACATAAAATTGCAGTGGATGCTTTTAAGGTGCCATGTTAAGTTAAAAGACATTCAACTTTTAAAATAAGGTTTTAGCTATTTAAAAATACTTGGTTATACAAACATTGTTTTTTTTATTATTATTTTAACATTTGGTAGTATGTTATTGTAAGGTGTTCTTGTTATAAATGTTACATGTACCTACTATTACAATAACAATAAATAATGCATAATTACATGTAAGTATACCTTAGCCAAAACCTAATCCTAACCCTAACCATATAGTAAGTACATGTAGTTAATTAATATGACTCAGTACTTAACTGCAACAAGGACATCTTAAAATAAAATGTAACCTAATATTTTTTATAATTAAATATTTACACAGTTGCAAAAAATGTAGAAAATACTAAATTTAAAAAATACATAGAAATATTAAAAAATATTGTTGTAACATTAAATCAGCAGGTCATATGAACAAATATTTGTAATGTTACTTTTATCATTTGAAGATGAAGATCCACACTGTCCCATTTCTTCCTGCTCAGCACTTAAGCATGTTTAAACATTTCCATTGAAAAACACCTTTTAAACACTGGTTAAAAGTTTCACTAATTACAGGTGTCATGTCAGTGCATTTTTTCTTCTATCAATTAAACAAAACAAAAACTAGGTCTCCCAAATTAAATTTTTTGGTTCTTATGGGGTTCTGGAACCCCTGACCACCCCTCAATACGAATGCTTCTGCATCCCATACATACTGATTTAGTTCCTCCTCTTTCTCCTACATCATTTTCCATCACCTTTCACTGTCCTGTCTAATAAAAGTCTCAAATGGGTGATTCGAATTCCCATCACTGAGTTCTTGGCCTTAGCATTCAAAGCCTCACTTGTCCTTTATTCCACCTTTTCCAAATTCTCCTCCATCATTCTGAAATAAGAGACTGATGGCTGCTCAGATGGCCTCCCTTGGGCAGCGGAAGAGAACACTGAAGGAAAAACAGATCTGGGAAGGCTGAGAGAGGTTCCCGGCTGCCAGTGTCATCATGGCTCCGGAGCTCAGCTGCAGGGCCCTACATGACTGAATTGTATTTCTCAGCTGTGATAAAGGGCTCTACACTTCTGATTTGATACTGTGCTGAAAATGATGATTAGTGCATGAATTTAGCACCCCATAGGCATGAAGTACACACTTCTGATAAAGGGCTTGACATCTGATTTGAAGTGCACACTACAGCGTAAAGGAGCTTGTATGAGATCTGCCCTAAGGCAGGGGCTACACAGAAACTGAAGTATAGTAAAGGCTATCAGTGTAGCCGCAGGCTCTGTGAAGATGAAGAACAATCACAAGGCACAGGACTACACACACAGTTACGTTTATTCAATACTACACTGTAAAAATATGATTTTTCAAAGTTGCAAATAAAGATTACAGGAGTATGTTTTACTTTAAGAAATTACTATTTCAGTCACTCTAATTTTTCATGTTTAATTCAATGTGACCATTTCTTTGTAATTATTTGTTAAATGTACTAGCAATTTTGGAGGGAAAATTGTTTCAAAGTCAATCCTACACCAACTTTTTCTTCAATGCAAGGCAGCATCCTTGAAAGCGGTCTTTTTGACATTAACACAAAGTTCTGCAAATAAAATACAATGTATGATGTTGATAATAGATATTTCATTTTCATTTAACACTCCTGTCAGGTTTTCTAAACTATTTTGGGTGTAGTTATTATAGAAATTATTTGCTACTCTCGTTTTCTGTTACACAAAGATGTTGACACACTAATTTGAAAATGTACAAAAGGTACAACCTCTTGCAAGTTTGGTTTATTATTCAGAGAGTCTCATTACTGCCATGTGCCACAGAGATGCACCAATCAGAAAAACCTTAATTATTGATGACCATGCCTGCAGGCAACCAGCTGAACTCTCAGATAGATAGATAAGAAATAGAGGTGCACAGCTCTTAAAAGATTTTAAATATGAAACATCTTTAGTTCTCAGAGAACATCTTTGGTCCATTTGAATCCCCTGCAGCATAGAGCCCAGAAGCGCTGTGTGTGGCATGCATAAGTGTGCACGTGTGTGTGTGTGTGTACACATAATAAACACACAACCCCCCACATGTACATTTATGAAAGAAAAAAAAAATAGATTAATTTACTCAAGATGTGCAGATGGCCATTCATGGGGTGCTTAAATGCTATTTAAGCATTTTTCGGTATGAAGTATAAGTCCTAGAGTGTTCTATAAGAGCTGAACTGGCCACCAATTACCACTCATACTGAATGAGAGTGGAAATATTTGATTAATGCTTCAATGTGTTTTGGCTGACAGATGAAGTGATGAGGAGAAAGAGTGTGACGGTCAGCCTGGCAGCTACAGATATGCAAGCAGCCTAATAATGAAGAATATGCAGCAGTGTGGTCTGAGGTGGTAGAAGAATCTCTGTCTCGTACACAAATACACACACAGCTCTATGATTTGAATAAAATGACTGTTGAGTGTAAATGGGAACCTAACGTAAGGGAACAGCCAACAGTCTCCATTAGGAAAATGACCTAGACTAAATGTCTTACTAAAAATATAAAAATGCAAAATGGTTTGTGTGAGTCTTATGTTTAGGGTTTGGACATTAAAAAAAATATTGTTGCTGGAAACAATTAAACGTTTTTGTGTCAACCTGCCATGTATTTTTTTCATTTACTTCATTTTTTTACTTCCAATTCAAAATAGAATCTACTGTATAAAATTTCTTAAAGAACCATCCATACTGGATACACATAGTAACAGGAAATGAAGCCAATGAAATCTTAAACATAAAAATGTATGTTTTCTCCTGCACTGTAAATATTTTAGCACCTTCCAATAAAACACCATTTTTGGATTTTGCATCAACTTTTTGTACAGCACGTCATTTCCTTTTTCCACTCCAACTGGTTGGCCTCCCTACAGTAGCCTACTTAAAAATCCACACATTTCCAGAGTGTGCGGCTTGACACATACTGTGTGTGTGTATGCATGCATGTATGTATACATCTATATATATATATTCATGAGAATTTTAGATTTTTGGTCACATGGAGTTCATAGTACTGTACTTTTTACAGTTTTACAGCTCCTTTTATTAATACAAACCTAATTTCAAGAATATTTTGCCTCAAAAAAGTATGCATATTGTCTCGTTAATACATTGTCTTGTTGAATACAAATGTTATCTTAAATTATAAAAGGTCAATCATACACTATATATATATTTTTTTAAAAATACAGGAAAAATTTCATACATTGTTATACATCTATACATACATTTTTTTTAATCGTAGGATATGGTAAACAGGTTTTAACTATAGGATTTTTATCTATTAATTTTCCTATAGTTACAAACATTGTTTTACAGTGAGTGTTACTCGAAGATGTGTCAATATAAAACGAAAGAATTACAGAACACAAGCAGTTCTATGTACTTCCCGCAAACCTTTCCGCGCGGCTGCCATGCAGTTACGCACTAGAACGCAACACTACATGACGTCATAATTGCCGATATTGAGTCCGATACAGTTAATGTTATAGAAACAGAACGATTTATTTATTATGACGCGTTTTGCCTGTGCACATGCATTTAATGCGTGCGTAATAACTTCTCCATTTCCACGTCCCTATAGCTTCAATCTCCAAAAGCCTAGACGTATGTCACTTTGAAGTCAATCTGTGTAACACATTACACCCATAAGGTTCTCTCGTTCTACGTCTAACTCAACAGTTCACTGACGCTCCTTATGGTCACTTGAGTAGGGTCCAAATTCCCCGCAGCCGTAGGATCGATTGCAGTGACATGTGGAGAATTAAACCGCTTCCCACCAGATAAAAACAGTGAGAGATGAGACAATAACACATAATGACACCACCGACATATGCTTTAATTTTCGTACTGGAAATCATCCTTGCAGTAGCCTGCGTCCAAACCTGTGCGCGAGCCAAGCAACGCACACACAGCTTCCAACAATTGCATGAAACTAAGCTGTCAATTATGTGCACGCTCCTTACCTCGAGAGTTTCACGGCGCAGATAAACACAGTACTTTCGGGAAAACAGCCTGTTAAAAACATTAAATCCGTAACGGTGCAGGTTGCGTGGATCTCAGCGGTGGACTCTGATGGGGTCTCGCAGTGGTGAATGGAATTAAAGCGCCGGTTGCGGTGGATAGGAGGTCCCCCTACTGCCGAGTCCTCTCACTACCTTGCGCGTTTCTCCGTCTGCACACACACAGTAATGCTGCTGCAGCATCAGCTGCGCTGAGAAAAGAGCTGGACAGCTATAAACTACGGAATGGATTACTGTATCAAACTACAGCGGAGCTTCGATGGGTCCCGCACTCAGATAGTAATCACATATAGACAGATGTCACTACAGAGTTTAGTTCCATCCCTAACACACCCGCTTGTAATTTTCAGGCAACCCTGTAAAGTTTGGGTGGATTTTTCAGGTGGGTTTGATTAAGGATGGAGCTAAACCCTCCAGGATCAGAGTTGCTTATCCCTCCCTGTATTGGATAGATAGATCAGTGGTTCCCAACCCTGGTCCTGGAGGCACCCCAACACTGCACATGTTGCATGTCTCCTTTCTCTGACGCACCAATTTCAGGTGTTGGAGTCTCTAATAATGAGCTGATGATCTGAATCAGGTGTGTTTAATTAAGGAGACATGCAAAATGTGCAGTGTTGGGGTGCCTCCAGGACCAGGGTTGGGAACCCCTGAAATAGATAGATAGATAGATAGATAGATAGATAGATAGATAGATAGATAGATAGATAGATAGATAGATAGATAGATAGATAGATGGAGCTGGGTGGGTGGATAAATGGATGATACATGGATAGATAATAGGCCTATACTATAGTTTACCCCTCAGAAAGTTTGATACATTGAGTAATATTGATCTCTCTGATTCATGATCCTGATCTTGGGGATCCACTTCATGTTTTGTATGTCTCCTTAATTCAACACATCTGATTCAAATAATCAGCTCCTTAGCAGAGAGCTCCATGACCTGAACTGGAGGCCAATTTCAAGTCTTGTAGTCAGATAACGAATCAATGTAAAAGGATGTTAAAAAGGTACTGGAAAATTGTTGGGAGTATGGAAGTTTTGGTAGGATAGTAAATAAGGAAGCACAGGAAATGAGTCTGAAACAACTCCTTCAGCTGTAATTCCAACTATACCCCCATCAATTAAGCTTTAGCGTTAGTTCTGGCAGGTCACGTGAGTCAAGCTTGCATCAGCTGATTCTCAGCTGATCACATCTACCTATAGGGATACGACACCTATCGTGGCATTCCTATATAAGCTGTATTCAGTATTATTCAGCAATTAAGCATGGCTGCTCGCAAATCAAACTGTTGCAGCGTGTTTCAGAACATCTGAAATCCACATCTAAGATAAGTGAATGCTGTTTTAATCCATATCGCTGTGTATATTACCTGGTCTGCTAATTGAAAAAAGCATATTTGCAGCAGCATTTACGCATCTGTGTTCATACAGCTGGAGCAACACGTAGTCTAGAGCATGTAATCGCTCTGAGGACACGCGATAGTTAAGGCCATGAGAACAAGTTTAAATGAAACACACATTCTCGTGTATGCGTTTCAACTGGGGCTCGCTGTATTCAGCGGCATAACCTCAATGTTACGGTTGTTTATTTCTAAGATTGATGTTTCATTAGCTGTGTGAGTGTGCGGTCAGAAGCACGCGTTTATCGCTCCTAATGGCTTCTATACATATAAGAATGTAATATCAATGACAGTCATTCGAAGTATTTCTGCAGTGTGTATGCTTCCCCTGCTGGACTGCCACTCAATACTTTCTCAATAGATTCATAATTTCTGATCCGCTTGAATATGTGCACACGCTGAGTAATTCTTATTTCATTCTCATTGCTTAACGCTATGTTGGCAAATATGCTATTGTCAAATATTGCTCGTTGTTTAAGGCTAGTTGTTCAGTAACATGTTGGTTTGCTAGGCACGCCGTAGCTTAGGCTTATTGGTTGTACTTTGACACACTGGTAACATTAACGTTACCGTTTAAACTTACCACAGCTGAGACTTGTTTTTAAATCTGTTTAAGACTGTCTGATATGAAGCAGGCTTGCTGCTTAAGGCTCATCTAGTATTGAGGATGCTGTTTCATTAAACACATCCTGTGTATGATTAATTCCATCAAGCTGTGTTTAAGTCTGTGATATGCTGTTGCTTAAAGCTATACAGTGTATCGGTAATGTGCTTGATACTTAACTTGCAGTATGTAGATTTTGCTACTAAAGGTGTTTTTAATGCTAACGGTTATCAGGATATGGCAACATGCTGTTGCCTAAACTTCGGGTATTGACCATATGCTGTACTGCATTAAAGGGGCATGCTGCTCTTCTCAGCTGCATATTAAAGAAGAGCACCCCTTCACTGCTTCTCTTCTTAAAGGGCATGCTGCCTCAGTCTATGCTATTTCAGAAGATATTTTGCTTTAAAGCTATTAGGGTATTGGGATTTTGCTTGCTTGTTAGGGCTTATCTAGTGTTTAGTATCATGTTTGTCGCTAGACTTGCTTGTTGCTGTAAGCTATTGGTTGTTACTGCAAGTGCTGGTACTTAGTTAAACTTGCAACAGCAAGAAGCTAATGTTTAAGTTGTGGTTTAGGCCATCCGATTGTTCTTGAAATATGCTTGCTGCTTATGGCTCATCTAGTATTGGGAATGTTATTTCCTTAAGTT